GTAACGGGTCGGAAGACACTGCCTCCGATGCAGCACGGGAATTCTTCCCATCCTCGTGTTTGCCCATGTTACACGTTGTGTCACCCGTAAATTGCCAAACTAAACAAGACTTATAGAAACGTGAGACAAACTTCCTTATCGCCGGTATCCCCTATCTCGGTTACCCTGAAACGAACTAGCTCTAGATCTCATAATAAATAGTCAAAAAACCGTAGAACACGAGCTGATAGAAACGATCGAAATCTATCCAAGCTTGCCCACCCGCCGCTCTCCCCCAGATCTTGAGCGACCTCTTCTGCGACGTGTGCGTCGACCATCAGTATCGGAAGAGAGGCCAGACGCAGATGATGAGGAACTCGATGATGACGGGCTACGCAACCTAGAGACGGAATTGTGGGCTGCTGATGGGGAGTGAATACAATCCTCACCGACTGTGGTGACCAGCACCATCCCGGTTGTGCTTTGGAGGGGAGCGGCTACCTGAGCCGACAAGTCACCACCACGTGCTCAATCAAAGGGGGCCTACGATCACCGACACTGCTTGTACCACTGGGCACTGCTGCCTTCCGAGGCCTCTCGGCGGGAGGTGCGGGAGGTGTTACGAAAACGACCTGCAAAAGATATCCAAAGGTGATCGCAGGCCCAGTCGGAAAAGAATATCACCTTCACCACGTTCCCATCAATCTGTCCTTTGTCTACATGGAGAAAAGCTTCCTCCGCCCCCTCACGAGTGGCGAAGAGGACATACGCATAGCCTTTGGAGAGGTGGCTCTGAGAAGAAGCGATAACCCCGTCATCAAGCAGACGTTAACTGTCTTATCACCCGTTCATCAACAGCCAGGTGAACACTCTCAACGCGAGCATACGTTCCTGAAGATATTGTCGTGCCAAGTGCGGTATGGGTGTTCATTAATTCACCAAATATTTTATTCAAGTGTTCCTCATCTACATTACGGGTTAGATTGCTGACCCGCAGCATTGTGGTACGATCAGCCGCCAGAGACGCCTCACCCGTATCTAGTAGAGCGAGCCTATAAGCCATACCTCCCTTTCCCGAA